GCGCCTCATAAGACCGAGGCGCTGTGGTTCCATAAACTTCGAAGAGGAAAGGATCCACCCAGTTGGTCGGTTCGCGTGGGTGACGTGCAGATCCAGGTGAGACCGGTGATGAAATATCTTGGTCTCACTCTGGATAGTCGCTGGGGCTTCGAAGAGCACCTTCAATCGCTTGGCCCCCCGTATCGAGAAGGTAGTAGGTGCTATGCACAAATTACTGCCTAATCTCGGGGGCCCCAGGGAGGGAGTTCGCCGCCTCTATGCGGGAGTCTTGCGATCGATGGCCCTCTACGGGGCGCCCGTATGGTCTCACCGACTAACGGGTGTCCGACGCTGCAGGTCTAAACTTTATAGCCTGCAGCGAAGAATAGCCATCAGGATCGCACGAGGGTATCGAACGATATCCTTTGAGGCGGCCACTATCCTTGCTCGGTTTCCACCACTGGACATCCTGGCGGAGATGGATGCGCGAGTTTATACTCGCCTCCGGTTACCTCAGGATGATGCCGAGCCCCTGGATGCGGGAGAGGTGCGGGAGCAGGAGCGTACACGCGGGTTGGAGATTTGGCGCGAGCGCTTGGGAGAAGCTCGGAACTTGCGCCAACGAATCGTCACTGCGTTCCTGCCCAGCTTCGAAGCCTGGCTAAGTGCGAGGGGATTCGCGCACGTCACCTTCCGGTTGACGCAGGTGCTCACCGGGCACGGATGCTTTGGTGAGTACCTAAATAGAATTGGACGCGAACCGACAACGCAATGCCACCATTGTGGTGGGGACCGGGACTCCGCGCCACACTCTTGCAGAGTGCCCCGCTTGGGAGTCAGAACGTCGGATCCTGGTCCAAAAGATCGGGCAGGACCTTTCTCCACCAGTTGCAGTGGCGGCTGCACTGATGGAGAAATCTGCTTGGACGGCACTGGTCTCCTTCTGCGAAGCAGTCATGCTCCAGAAGGAGATCGCTGAGCGGGAACGGGAGAGGGCCGACCCCGCTCGGAGACGAAGGCGCGCGGGTGGTAGAAACGGACGAGCCGCTCCGTCAGCCCTGTAGTCTCGGGCTTATAGAATAGGACTAAGGTATCCCCTGCCTGTCGTAAAAGGCGACTAAAAGGGGACACGGATGGGCAGCAGCACGAAGTGGTCTCGTGTTGCTGTAAGAGGATGAGGGGATTGGAGAAGGTTTATCCTTCTCCGAGGCGTGCTCAGGCGTAGTACCGAGGGACACCGGTGCGTTCCATGGGAGATCCCGGAGTCCCTCCAAATGTACAGAAGGTGGCCACCGAGGGGGTTTTAGTGGGTAAGAACCCCACATAACCCTGTCATGTAAAGTGACAGGGTATCTTTTGAAGATTTCCCCCCCGATACCAAAAAAAAAAAAAAAAAAAAAAAAAAAAAAAAAAAAAAGGTTCCGCCACGTACCTGGCAGGTTCTCCCCAGTTAATGATAGAAGCGTTGCTGGAGTTTCTTCCGCCACTTCTTCTCCCAGTGCCAACGCTTTACGAAGTGGTAGTAACGATAGCTCTAGAGATCCCCACAGTCAGTTAACAGCTACCGATCGAGCCGAGGTCCGGCCCTCTCTGGTACCCTCGAATCGGAATGCTAAACGCGTGCTGAGTGACAGCCCAAGCAGAGGTCCCCTCTCGGGGACGCTTGAGCCTGATCACTCCATGGAGCGTCCGCCAAAGCGCCCTAAGAGCTTGGCGGCCTCCCAAACCGGTGAAAATAATAGCGTGACGGCCCGAGCCGAGGTTCCCTCGGGAGTCCTCGAGCTTAGTCACCATAACGCGTAATAATAATACGCGAGGTTCAGGCCAGGTGCCTCGAGCGCCCGGCCACCTCAAGCCCGTCGGATCTGTAAAGGCCCCTAAGGCCAATAGTGGCTCATCCAGCCCAAAAGAAAAAAAAGGCATCATGGCAGTCGACGAGCATCAAGATCTACCAGTGGAACAAGCAACTAGAAGAAGTCAGCAAGAAAGAAGAAACCCTGCAGCCTGGAAGAGGAGCCTGCAGTTATAGAAGACCGTTTATTTCATAAGAAAATATCTGTACAGAACGCTGAAAATAAACCAATTTCTTTCTGTCTTCACGACATTCTTGTTTCTTTACCAATCCAACACATTTAGATGTGCATTGCGCACACTTATTATGTATCGTTGGTAGGACCACGCAACAGTCATCGCTATTGCAGGCCCGGTCCGTCCGTCCGGGTAAGAGCCACGACCTGACAGAATACAGGCGTGAAGTGAAAGTGTTATACGTCCGCGTTTCTTTTCACGTGACGCACAAAGACGATAACCCAGTTGTGGGGAGTTGCCAGTAGTCTTAGAGTATCTATGTCTGATTCATTTCAAATCTGAAAAGTAGACCTTATGGGGCGATATGAAATACCCGTTTTACGTTTCTCTTCACTGTTCACATCTAAGGTTATACTTTGTAGAAGTGTCTCCAAGACATCAGTAAACTGTCTCTCTTTAGTTGCCGGGAATGCTAATCAAAAAAATTTAAACTTAGGGCGGCTCATTGAGATTAAAACCAAAGCAGCTGCAATTAAATTCGGTAGAAGGGCTTCAGACCGAGATAGCTTCGAAGCCTGTATAAATCATCGGCCCGGTAGTCTGTGAAACTGCTCTGATGCATCGTCGAGTTCTGCAAAATGCTAGCTGCCTTAGACTCAATAGAGAGACGCGCATAGGCTCGTTCAACGATTTTAACCTGGTTATAAATAAATATCGCTAGAATCGAGCGGAGGTAAGAGCTGTCTTTCGTGTGTCGGTGTTCGTAAAAGAGAACGTAATCACTACCCTTACGGTGTGCGTATTCGAATTACTTGAATTAACCTCTTCAATAATAAGGGCCGCCCTTTTATTATAGATATCGCACGCACTCTACTCAAAAGCGATTCGTTTATTAGGCGTACGTAACAAAAGAATGGAACAATATCTCTTTCCGATATAATATATCATGGACATCTGCAAGGCAATAGTGAAGAAGTGTTTACTGACCACTCCACCGGGAGAGACAATGTCGAGAACTTACCAATTTCTTGAAACAAACCTTTGTTCATTTGGTTCCGTTGAATCGTGTCAATACTCGTAACGGTGTGATGAATTTATTAATGCACATTGGCTATAAGGCAAAATGAAATACCAATAATGATCATATAATTTTAATTCATATTAATGTAAACTCTATTAATACAGAATTATCACAACATTTATAAGATCGAAATTGAGTCACGTTAAAGAGCACCAATAATTTGTAATTTTAAAAATAATTATCATTTACACACATCGTGTATGAAATACTTTTGTAAATACACTGTAAACAGTTAAAAACTCTTTATAATCCAGGACCTGTATTTATTTTAATTCATTAAAAGCATTTTAATAAATACATATTTAAACCTACCCTTAAATTAGGACAACGTTTTGATATTTCATTAAATTCATGTTCATATAAGCTATGATGAAACTATTATAGACGAACTGAGACATATTATTTATCTATTGATTTATTGCACAGATTAAAGTAAGTAAAAAACGGTCGTTTATTAATAATCTTTAAATTATTACGCAAAAAAAAAAAGAAATGCAGCATGGAATGTAGTTTGGTTACTAAAATCACGCAAGAAGTTTTTTTTAAGAAATAAGCAGTAAGTTTCTTAAATGGAAAGAGGATAAGAAAAATTATAAAAATTAATATTTTTATGATAAAAAAAAAGTTTTTATAAAATAAACGGTTAAGAAAAGCTACGGAGGTGTACATTAAAGGAATGTTATTTGTCTCTTTCCGAAAATTATAAGACAAATTTAAATATCATCAATTATAAAATTAAAAATATAAATGTACGAAAAGAACAATTTATAAAGGCCAATTAAAATAGAATATAAATAAATAGAAAATTCTAATACTGCAAAAAGGATGGAAGCGGTCGCAATAATAAAAGAAAATTATTGCGAACGGAATTAAATCCATATAAAAATATTTGTAAAAATAAGTAGAAAGTTTAAAAGCGTATATCCAAACATTGTATCTAGTCTTCGAATTATTAATAAATTATTTAAATAATAATAATTGTTACCATTAAGAAATAAGTGAAGACTAAGAAATTGTATAAGTAGTGAAAATAAATATCCGAAAAATAATTATTGTCGTTTACAACAAACATTTATGCATAAGAGTATAAGAGGAAACTGGATGGTATAATAATTCGTGTTGGATAATTTACTATATTAACCATAGTGTATAAGTTAATAGGTTGTCCAACACGTGCCATCCACAAGTACTATGGTGTATTATTTTTAACAACTACTACGATGATGTTTACACTACGTATCCCTAAACACTAACGGCCGGTTAAATATTCAATCTACAGATAGATTTAATTATTAGCGATAAGTATATTGGACCAAAATCTTTACATCAAAATTCGACCTAACCAAATTGGATTTGTAGATGGAATATTGAAACCGGCCGTGAATTGACCGTTATTGAGATTGCATACCCTGAAATCGAGTTTTGAAATATAATCATTTCATTTCATATTTTGAAATATGAAAATGAAATTTGCTTTTAGTTTTATATTTCTCCGGACGAATGGAGCGAAGGTCGTGATTACGAATATATAGATCAGTCCGGTTTCAATATTCTATTTACAGATGGATTTACGACCGCTTTCTGCAACAATTATCATCGTAGATGTCAACTAATCAGCTGTCAAATGTCATTTGAGTTGCCAAAAGGATGGTTGAACTCTTTAAATTGAACATTAAGATGATCATTCTGATCAATTTGAGTTTAATCATTCTTTTGGCAAAGCAAATGACATTTGAAAAGCCATTTGACAGCTGATTAGTTAATTTCTACGATGATCAGTGTTTCAGAAACCGGGCGTAAATCCATCTGTAGATAGAATATTGGAACAAGCCGTAAATTGACAGTTATTGAGATTGCACACTCTCCGGACGAATAGGGCCAATCGAGGTCGTGATCACGAATATAATGATCAGTCCTCTTCCTGTTCGAGCGGTTTCCACTCCCTGTCGGACCTGAGCAGCACGATCTCGTCTTCCGAGTCGGTGTCCGAAGGCGGCATCTCGTCGTCGTCGTAGTACGGCTTCTGCAGCAGGTCTGTGGTGGGGCGAACAATACGGTCATCTTAGCAGAATGTGGCACATGTTTTTCATCATTTCCATCATTTCCAGAAATTGAAGATTAAAAAAAGTGCCAACTTATTTAAAAAAAAAAAAAAAAACGAAATTTCCAAATGCGCGCCAAAGTTTTAGCGCGACTGTCGACCGATCACGGACACGATTGGTCGTCTAACAGCCAATCAGAGCGACGTATAATGACGACTTAAAATGAAACAGACAGACTAATTAAAATAGGTAAATAACAAATATAAAGGAACAGTTCAAAATACTTTGACAACAGTAGCTGTGATAGTTAACGATGGCACGTCGACCGTTACGTGAGTTAATCATGGTACTTCATCTGATAGGCTACTAAAGGACCAAAGCCTATAGGTAGAAGGGGCGAGAGAGAAAGAGAGACAGAGCGAGGGATTGTCTTCCTTCTAGGGAGAGAAAGAAAGAGGAGACGCACCGTAGGAGGCGTCCGAGCAGAGCGGGCGCTTGTCGTCGTCGGGCGGCAGCTGCGAGAAGAGGTAGGAGCGGCGCTCGTCGATTGCGCGCTGCCGCCAGCCGCAGCACCAGGCGCCCATGCCCACCAGCGCCACCCCCACCACGCCTGCGGGGAACGCACCGACATCCGAGGACCGACATGCTCAGACTTGCTTCATGTCGGAAGGTGGCGAACGAGCTGGCGGTTCATTTAACAAAGCGCCCTCCGGCTACCTCGCTCACTAGACGAAACGCACAAGTATAACACTTGCATTTCGCGCCGGCCTTCTGTGAGGTCGTTGTACTTACCCGGACGAGCCTGCCCACTCGTGCAACAGCCGAGGCCGCTGCGTGACCCTACCACGGCTACCACCTGCCAAACTGAAGACACCACTCACCGGCCACCATGACGAAGACCAGACGCGGCATGCCCAACACCGTGTCGTCCTTCTCCAGCTTGAAGAGCACGTTGGGCGTCACGTTGCCTTCACTGTTCACCTGAGTGATTGAAACGTGACAATTTTAGTTATTTGTAACGTTATTCTCATTGGCATTAAGTATAAAATTGTATAACTGAAGGCAAATAAACTTTGTTATTATTATATGGGGACATTTATTTCGTCTTCGTCGGGTTTATAAATAAAAACTAAAATATGGGCTTCTTGATTATACGAGAATATTAAATGAAACTAGTTTACGGATTTTATCGCGTTTTAATTTTGATTTTGAAATTCCTGACGTTTCGAACCCTTTCCAGCGTTCATGGTCACGGGACAGATTATGATATAGATATAAACATTATATACAATACATCAATATATATAATAAATAGAACCAAAGCAGACGGAAGCCCTCGGCAGGGGAGGCCAAACGGCCGACTGTTAGGGTTATTATTATAATTATAAATATTGCTAACAAACTCCGATGACTCCGTTGCAGAGTTGCTATGGTATTTTGAAAGATGTCCCGCTACGTTTCTTTCGCCGGTCATTCTCAGGCCAGGGGCTTTTTTCCGAACCGGTAGTAGTGTTTTTTGACAAACAATAAGTAAGTGTAATGCTTCTATATTGAACAAAGATATTTGAATCTGAAACAATTGGCTCCGGCGCCGGCGGCCGTAGATTCGATTCCCGCACCACGGATAGTTGTTTCGGTCCGATCGTAGCTTAATATGAATTGGGCCGACGGTTCTCTAGTTTTAGGTGAGCATACATTCTTATTGATAACAAAAAGCAGTCACCGTGACGTGGCGCGTGGCGGTGACGTAGCCGTCGGCCGTGGCAGAGAGCAGCAGCTCGCGGCCGGTGGCAGTGACCGGCAGTGGCAGCACGAAGCGGCCGACGGCGTCGCTGGTGGCGTCGGCGAGCGGCCGCGGCGGCGCCAGCGAGTGCGCCACCAGCCGCGCCCCCGCCAGCGGCGAGCTGCCAGCGTCCAGCGCCAGCCCTGCCACCACGCCAGGTATCAATTTCACCACTTTACGAATCGAGCCGACGGCCATTTGAGGATGTCGCAAGTTGATATATCGATATATCGAATATACGGCGTGTCGTTACAACCGCGACAATAAATGAACACACGTCTAACGCTATTTGCCAATAATCATAGAAAAATATATACGTTAAAAAAAACTTCATAATTAAAATAAAATGTTTTTCAAAGAAACTAATTAAATCAAAAAGGAATAAAATTTGTAACATCTATACAACAACAACTGACTGATTCATACATTCCGAGACTTTTTCATTCGTTGCCACAGCGACGCATTACAAATCTCTCCTTCTAACAGTATGTTTTGTCTCTTTTAAATTCATTCAACCCATTCATATGCTTTGTGACCTTTACGAATGAGCTTTACGTTACAGTTTTATACGTAAGGGTGTTCTAAAATTGTTTGTTTTGAAAAATTTTATAACCCGGTAATTATTGATTTTTAAAGAATGTAAATGTTAAATGTAATTTTAAAAAGTTTTCCTCTATATGTGTGTTCATTTATTTTCGCGGTTGTAACGTCACGCTGTATATCAATTTCGGCCTCGGTACAAACAAGTGAAAATACCGATATGTCGATATATCGGATAAAGGTCTTAAAACCCCTTTATAAAAAAAATGGTTTGTCAAGTATTTGACATCTACGGACGCAGTATCTGATAAGATTTTCGATATTGTATACGTCGGAGATAGGTGGATCACATAGGAAAACTCGCTGTCAGATCCCTCATCGGACATGTTGTACGCGCAAAATAAATTTATCATGTAGCATTGTAGTTTACTTGTTCGATAAAAATCAACAATAACGAAAATAACTGTTAAACACACTGATGTAATTGAATGGAAACGTAGCAAGTTGGATACAGGAAGATGACCGACGATGACGTTTAGAACACACAGTGTGACCAGATTTCATTTGACGAATCTACTGTTTGTCGAGGTTAAAAACTACTGAATTCTACCAAAAGAGAACGAGAAAACACTAAAAATCTAGTATATTTTGTGCGGTCGTGTTAAAACCTAAAGCATGAATGTTTTCGTGATTAAACGATAAAGTAATAAAAATAACAAAGAAACCACCATAAGTAAAGAAACCAATGTTTTTTTTAGTTAAATTCTGAATAAAAATATAATTAAAAAAATAAAATTAAACTTAAAGTTAAGATTCTTCGTCTTTATGTTGGGCAACATTGTTATAAAGCTGTTTTGAGTCCATTAACTTGATCATACTTCTGTCAGGATCAAATCTTCTACATCCTCCTTCCAACTGATCCCTCGTAACCCTTCTTTCCATGCATTATTGCATGCAACATTCTTATTATTAAATTGATTTCGATCTTGATTTTTAATCCTATTAATATCGGAAAATATTCTTCTTCGGCGTTTGACAAAGGCAGTATCGTCATTTGCTTCACAAATCGGGACAAATTGCCGTACTTTGGTTTGCTATTAGCATCACAGATTTGGATGACTTCACCCCAAAATTTATCCACCATAAAAGTTTCAGACATCTAACTAGCAGTAGACAGTGATTTATTTTGACATAATACGGATTCACACTCCTGCGTAAGTTGAAAGTATTAAAAAGAATAATTAACTAAGAAGTATGACGATTGATGTAGCCAGGTGGAACACATGGCTACATCAAAGTATAATATTGTTAGAAGACATGTATGATATGTGAAGTCCGCCAATCCGCAGTGCCCCGGTGCCCTCTGTACAGAGGAGGCTGCCCAGCCAACCAGAGGTTTGCCCAGCAGTGGGACATGTATAGGCTATTAATTTAAATTTTTGTTTCACTAAAGGCATTAACGGTCGCTGGTGGAATCCCATCTCACCGGTGACGTATACGGTGTTGGGGTCCTCTGGGAGCGGGAGCCGGTCCTCGGGCGCCGGCAGGTGCTCAGCGTTGACGCGGCGCATCACCACCGGCTTCTCCTTCACCACGCCCTCCACCACGCGCCACGTCACTTGCTGGGGGTGTGGTAACTGTGGTGGGCTGCCCACTCGCGCGACGCTCTACGCCGTTGCACGAATGGGCAGCTCCGTACGGGGAATCATCTATAACACTACGGGTGTTGCAAATGTCCATGGGCGGCGGTTATCACTTGACGTCGGAAAATATTCCCCTCTCGTTACTTATATGAGCTTCGACTGGAAGTGGTGTATTGTAACCTTGGGGTCACACGATTCAAACAAGCAGCGACTGACAAAGTAATTTGTCAGTCGCTAAGCAATTGCGATTCGATTATTCACGCCCGGTTTCTGGAACACTGATCACCGTAGAAGTTACCTGATCAGCTGTCGAATGGCTTCTCAAATGTCATTTGAGTTGCCAAAAGGATGGTTAGTCTTTGAATTTATCATTCTGAGCATGTTTTACTTATTCAACCAAACTTTTGGCAACTCAAATGACATTTGAGAAGCCGTTTGACATTCAGCGACGCAATTGCTAAGGAATTGCACCAAGCATTGCTTAAAGTGTTAAAGTTTAGCGTTGAGATTTTCGTCGGTGTGGCAATCAGCCGTTTAGCTTAGCAGAAGTGGGTTCGATTCGGACAGCGGCGACAAATCTTTTCGTACTTTTCTAAAAATATGCGTAGCGCGCTAAAAGAAGTTTTCACTTAAAAAAAATCTCCCAAGCTTGAGAGTATCGGTGGCCTACCTGGTCCTGGTAGCCGTGGCAGCGCGCGAGCACGCGGTAGTCGCCGGCCGGCAGCAGGGCGCGGTAGTGGGCGCGGTTGCGCGAGACGCGGAAGTGGCGGCCGCTGCCACCGCTGCCACCGCTGCCACCACCGCCACCGCTGCCACGCCCCACCAGCGACAGCGTGGCGTCGCGCAGCGGCAGGCCGTCCTCGTTCTTTATGAAACCCTTCACGCCTGCAACCCGATCGCGAGAGCTTTAGCGAGTCTCGTCGTAGAAATCTGTGTTTCAATTTAGCCATCACGACCTGCTTAGCGTAGTGGGTTAGATCCCCACTACTGGAAACATGTTGTGTGCTGAATACAGAGATCTTTCCATTGTTTATAAATGTATAATAAGTATTTATTTAAAAAAGAAAGGTATGTTTAAGTATGTTCATCAGTTGCTAGCTGACCCAGCAAACGTTGTTTTGCCATATAAATTATTTGTATTCTAGAAAAAAAAATGATTAGGGAGGACCACCCTTAACAATTAGGGGGATAAAAAATAGATGTTGTCTGATTCTCCACCCTGGCCGATATGCACACAAAATTTCACGAAAATCTGTCGAGCCGTTTACACGAATTTTATATATTAGATCTAGTCTCCATAGTACAAGCGTTGCATAGTTTGGGACTAGAACGTTGTGTAAAAATGTGTCCTAAATAGTTATCAATTTATAGTTGCAGTTTTTCACCGCACGTTGAAATATTTAATAGAAATAGCAGACTGAACTGATTAAAACTTTCAGCATTGTAACTACCAGCACTCACAACGCCAATCGGGTCGTGATAAAAACATATGATGCGCATAACCCAAGCAATTATTCTGCAGGAACCCTGCTGCAACATAAAAGAAGCTAAAAGTTAAGCTGCATTATAGATAACCTGCCCGAATAGGTTGCTTACTAAACAGCTCTCACAGTCCACCATAATATACACAGATGTAGGATCATTTCACTCATCATTTTGCCTCAAGTATCCATCAAAACCCCCTCACCCGTATTCGCCACCTTGACCAGGTCCATCAGCCCGCGCAGGCTGTCCCTCCACACCCAGCCGATGGCCTGCGGCGCCGGCATCTTGCAGCAGCTCAGGCCCACTGCCACCACTGGCACGCCATAGCGTTCGCCGACCAGGTCCACCAGGTTCCCGTGTTTCGGGTCCACCTCCAGCTCGGGGCAGCTGTACCGATCGCTGGGCGTCCTGCTCTCCTGGAACCGCCTGGCAAATAGCTCGTAGATTTCCTTGGACAGCTCCGGGTAGGCGACGCCCTCGGTGCCCGACGCGAACTCCACCACCAGGTCGTAGTCCTCCTGCACCAGCATGTCCACGAAGGCCTTCTCGCGCGTGTAGTTGCTCAAAGGGTCGAGGTCTTTCCCCGTCAGGTGGTCGTAGACCCTGTCACCGAACTCCTCCTCCAGCGGTTCCAGGTCGCATTTGTCCGAGCCGTCGTACTCCTTGAGGAGTTTCTTGTACAGAGGGTCGATGTTGGGGATGAAGTGGAGGACGGCGTTCCTCAGCAGCCGCTGGTGCACCGGCTCCCCGATGGTGTACGCGGTGGCGAGGTGGCGGGCGAAGTTCAGCAGCAACTCCTGGCCGAGCGGCTGCGAGCCGTACAGGTTGCTGATCAGCGCTATCCGGAACTTGGTCTCCTCGGGCGAGCCGATCTGGATGGCGCGAAAACTTACATTCAGGTCAGGTTCAGAAATCACCGAAACTAATTTTTATAGAGGAATCGTAAAAATAATCTACAGTCAAGTAACCTTTTATTTTAATTTATCTTAAAGATATATTGTATTTAAATACGTATATAACTAAAATTAATACACAAAGACATGCATGAGTAGAAAAAGAGAGAGAAAATATAAACTCTCAAGTACAGACTAAAAATACGATATTTTAAATACCGAAAATATATCTATACTATTTACATGAAAGTCCTTGTAAATGTTTGAACGAATATAACTGAAAATTAAGTGGATTTCGATAACGGTCTTTTTTAAATGTCTATAATATACCAAATAAGCTATATATTTAAAAAAAGATGATTTGGCACAGTTGCTAAACTATCAACATGATGAAAAATATTGCATTAAAATGTCTTACAAATAAGAACAGGGACGTCAATGACCAAGAATGACCGCGATATGTCAATTGTAATTAGAAAAATACGTCATGCAAAGAAAATTAATTTTATTGTTTTAAAATATCAAAACTTTTTCATAATACAATTTATGAAAATTATGAAAAATTCCAGGGAATCGAAAATGATACCAGCAAACAGAAATAGGGGGAAAGCAGCAGTGATGATGGTGATGATATCGATGATGACTATTCAGACAGTGGTGAAGAAATGAGCTGAAAGGAAGTGCTAGATTCTTATCAAAACTTTTTCTATGCTTTGAATACAAAATTTATTTATAAATAAATATTATTACAAAGATGTCTATTGTCCTAACCCTAATTGGTTCGAATTGACAGTTATAACGTCAAAAAATGGCGCGAAGTAGGTCTTCACGCTAGAAACTTTGATATTGAGTATTAAATTGTTTTGTGTGCAATTACGTTTATCTCATATTTATCATCATCATCATCATCAGCCGCAAGACGTCCACCGTTGAACTCTTAGAACGCCACAACGAACGACACTTTGCCATTTGCATCTCATATTTATAAGTAGTTTATATTTTACCTCTCTTAATTTTGTTTAATAATTGATAATTATGTTTGTCTATACAAGTAAGAGCAAGTCGATAGCACTCGATTTCCCCTTCCTACCCGACATCCATAATGCTTTCCAAGTCACCTAGGGCCGAATACTGAAACGTTGCTTAAATATTTAAAGGCACCTTAAACATTTGAGCAGCTCGTAAACACTAAATTCGTCAAGTTAAGATATACGTAAACGCTACTCAGTGAAAATTTCGTATACTGAAACGCCACTTAACGCTATTTATTTGCGCTATGGAAAAAGGTGCATAGTAAGACGTGTGTTCGACAACTTATTAACAGTGTTAATAAGTTGTCCTTGTGAGTGACCACTCAAAGAAGCAAGGAAGAAGGAAATCTACACGCCGTCGTTCTACACAGAAAGGCAGAGGACATGTTTCGGTGAGCTTCCCTTGTTCCTACCATCATTTTATCTCATTCGATTGTGCTCTTAATATTTAAAATTTCTAGAAAAATATACATGTGAACTAAGCGCAAACAGTAGGTCCCATTCTTATTTGGATCGCATTGTCACTATATATAACATTGAAAATATTATACATTTAGTTGTACTCTACTTGAAATTGTTCAAATGCGAATTGTATACCTTAACTTTTTAAATATTCCTAAATCAATAAGGTAATTTTACATTTCGCCGTCATCTGATGCGGGCTCTTCCAGAAACCAGATCCAGGAACGCATCAATCAATATCTCATGACTCTGATCTTCGTTCAGTTGTCAAGCAAGTAGCGATTATTTATCTATAGGAAAAATTAACAACGTACATTAAATGTGTCGCAAATGCATTATGGGTTATCTATGAAATAGATATCAACCTTTATAAAAGTCATATCCCGTTCAAAGAGTTTATCTACTATTACAACCTAATCTTTAGAGATATAAACTACTAATGCCCCGGTTTCTGAAACACTGATCATCGTAGAAGTTAACTAATCAGCTGTCAAATGTCTCTTCAAATGTCATTTTGAGTTGCCAAGAGTGATGAAACTATTTGAATTGACGATTCTGATCATTGAGAAGAAGATTCTGATACTTCATCAAAATCAACTAGAAAATGTATAGCGAGTGAGATATATCAAGTCTGTTGTTCATTTTTGTTAATAATAATGTACTTATTGTTAAGCTTTCACTTGTTTTTTACTTTTTACTTGAACCCAACACAAATTTCTTAACACCTTCAACAGCAATGTCTGTGAAATGGGATCTGACACTGTAGAACATCAGAATCTGCTACTCTGCAGTCTAGATCTGACACTGTAGAACATCAGAATCTGCTACTCTGTAGTCTGTACCTAAAGATGGAGCTTGACCTGACCTGGTCTGTCAGCTCGAGCCGGTGCAGCGCCGAGGTCCTGAGCGCGTCGCCGGCCTTGAACTCCGCCACGTCTGGGTACCGGTTCTCCAGCTCGGAGAGCTCCGCGTACATCTCCACGGGGCTGTGGTACCTCGTGTTCACTATGTTCTCGAGGACCCTGCGGACATAGACTTGCTTACGAACACAACCGACGGCTGGTTTCGATACTCTATCTACCTACGTGGTTTTGGAGATATAATTTGACGTAAGTATTATGGAACTAACGTCAAACACATATCGCTGGTAACCAAATCTATAGAATATCGAAGCCGGCCGTAAGTGATCACGTCAGCCCGCGGTCGTTAATTTTTTGGGATGTTTGTGAAAAATTTTGAGAGTGAATTTTCACGACACCTGATGGGTGAAAGCGACACAGACTTCATGGTTGCTGGTTATAATGGTAATTATGACCAGTAACATTACATTTATCTATAATTAGGAACAAAACTCCTAAGTTGGCATCCGTGATTTGTGCTGCTGTCAACATTTTAGATGGCTCGGTTACCTCACTTGTCGGACGAAATGCCAAAGTGCAATTAAATCTAACAGTTATGTAAGACTGTTGACATTTGTAGACGAGATTTTTCTACAAAAACATAATGGGAACCCTTGTCCAGTTAGTAAAAGCTACTACAGTGATAATACTTCCCTGTCTACGATTTTAATCACTGTGGTAACGGTGATGGGTAGGTTTTATTTTTGCCTGAATCGAGTATTTGCCCAACCTACGGATAATTTGTACGATAATTGATTCGTGTTTTAGAAACACCCCTGCAATACAGAGATTATCTTAGCAAAGGATAATTTTACTGGAGTTTGAATCACCAATAGAGTTAAGAGTATAAAATAAAATTTACATTACGTAATTTAAAGAATTGTAATCGTCACAATCATACGCTCCGCTGCATAAAAGAGAAATGGAGCAAACAGGTGACAGTTGGGTACACAACAGATGGCGCTAGGAGCCGAGGTCACAAAGAAAGAATGATGAATTTAAAATGACACTTGGAACTATTTATCGGCGTAAAGAGCAGTATCTTGTATTAACTGATGTTAACGCTTTCAGACCCGAGACTATTAAAGCTTCATCGAATGCAGAACTGGTGGGCTAGCCAGAAAACACGGGATTGAGTCCCTTCACAGTTGGTAGGGCCGCGCATGTGCTCATGCTTGCGTTAGCTAGGGAGTGTCGCTTACGGGCTATCGGGGTTCGGTGTGGACCGAGACCCCAATAGCCTTTTGAAAGAGATTATTAAGAGATTTGACCTTTTAAAAAAGATCAACTGTTGAGTTTCTTGCCGGTTTCTTCTCAACAGAAACTGCTTTCCGAACCGGTGGTAACTTACGAACGTGTTAATTTCTTTGTAAAATTTTGACGTTTCATAAGAACGCACAAGCGTCTATGTGAATAAAGATATTTTATTTTTATTATATAGCCGTTAGCCGTGATAGCCGTTGACTATGCTAGAGAGCGGCGGTATGACTTGGAGGAGGCCTTTGCCTTAGGGCACGATACAAGAGACATTTTGTAATACATGTGTTGATTTTACATTTATATTTTACTTTGTGTTATTTTTAAAATTTTTGTTCATAAAATTAAAATATCTGCCTATGAAAATTTGTTCAATTCATCTTAAAAAAACTCTCAATATTGTGTCAGGAATGAAATGACTCTGACATTATACATTATAGTTGTATGTAACATTTCGAAAGTAACGGTGTGGTAATGGACAAAACTAAGATTCTTTTGTATCCGTCACCATTAATGCGTGTGACGATCACTATTTAAAACGTTGCGTTTTATGATGACTCCTTAAGTAAATCAAATTAACAGCCTATATACGTATATATACGTTTGTATGGAGGCTATCTCGCTACGTTTTCTTTCACTTGTAAATGAATAAACAGGCAATTAAAACTTTTGTCAGATTCAACCGTTTGTAAATTTTAAACTGATATCGCTAGAGTTTACTGAATTCACACAGTCTTGTGTAGTCGTATTACTCTTTGTTCAAATAAAGATACAGATATGCTGGCATGTAGTATTTGGGTTTGCCTGATCTATTGTATTAAGTACATAATAAACAATATGTGACTATATTAATTATCATCAGAATTTCAACGACAGGTCTGATGATTTCTTGTATTTACGCGATTACACATTATAAATGAAACTAATTTTACGGATTTATCGCGTTTATTTTTAATTTAAGTTCCCGACGTTTCGAACCCTTTACAGCGTTCATGGTCCGGCTATTTGCTTTGGAAGGAGGAATTTTACATAGATGGTATAGCAATGGGCTGCCCAGTATCTCCCATTGTCGCTGACATATTTATGGAAGACTTTGAGGAGAAGGCCCTTCGCACAGCTCCCATTTATCCAAGGTTTTATAAGAGGTATGTAGATGACACCTTCACCATTTTACCAACAAGTAAAGTTAATGCATTTTTAAATCACCTTAACTCAGTAAATTCCAAAATACAATTCACTATGGAATTAGAGAATAATAACTCTTTAGCTTTCTTAGATGTTTTGGTCATCCGCAATCCAAATAACACTATAAGTCACACTGTGTATAGGAAGGCAACCCATACAAATAGATACCTAAACGGTGACTCTCACCACCATCCATCCCAGTTAGCTACCGTGGGTAAATCTTTGTTTCAGAGAGCACAAGGGATCTGTGACAAACAACACCTGGCCGCTGAGCTTCAACATGTCAAGCAAGTTCTGCATGACAACAAACTTCGAGCACCGCGCCTACGTCACAGTGACCGAGTGAAACCCAGCCACAGTGGAGCGAGTACCTGCTGTTCTACCACATGTCAGAGGAGTCACCGACAAGATTGGCTATATCTTAAAGCGGGCTTCAATTAATACATTCTACAAGCCGCTGAAGAAGATTAGTCAGTTTTTACCATCTGTCAAGTGTAATATCCCTCTGCAAGATCCAGGAGTGTACAAACTTGACTGTGAATGTGGGCTCTCTTACATAGGACAAACCAAAAGAGCTATAAAAAACCCGCGTGAAAGAACATATAGCTGACATAAAACATAGTAGATTAAACAAGTCTGCAGTTTGTGAGCACACTCTAAATCGGCCCAACCACTACATCAGGTTTGATAGACCACAGATCCTTGCAAAAAAAACACCGATTCCTCCCAAGGATGATTCGCGAGGCTATTGAAATTAAAAGACCCCCTAATTTCAATAGAGAAGAGGGTTGGGTACTACCATCAGCTTGGGATCCTATCATCAATAAAATTAAATCTAAGCCCAAAAGAACCACTACTGCAAGACAAGATACAATTAGCTCCCCCTGCATAGATCGGACACAAAATCAATAATACAAAAACTGACGGTAGCCCGGGATAACTTTGACAATCAGACGTCTAACACCTCAGTCTGTCCCGTGACCATGAACGCTGTAAAGGGTTCGAAACGTCGGGAACTTAAATTAAAAATAAACGCGATAAATCCGTAAAATTAGTTTCATTTATGACAGGTCTGATGATTTATTGAAATTCGGAATGATGATGTAAATAGAAATATTTAATTAGTACTAAAATGATAATAAAAACAATGGAAAATATAGATGCATTATAAAATCACAAGACTATTTTTCCAAGTGCATGTAACATGTGTTAGTGTAAGCGGACAGTTAGTACAAAAACAACACAAATGCCAAGTACTGAGTTTATTAATACATATGTATTAAGTGTTAAACATATAAAAAAAGGTTGATTAATATAGACATATAACAATGAATATACATAATGACATAAAATATGATATACTTAAATAAGTATGTAACATTTATATTACATTATAGGCTATAAGTAGTTCTTAAAGATTCTATAACTGGTATAAAGTAAATCGCTTATGACTTTTAGTTGTACTAAATATAAATATTTTGTTGTTTTATTTAAATGGAATTTTTAATATATAGGCACGTTTGCTAAGCAAAACACCTCTTAATTACTATTAAAAAAATCACACAGCCAAATGTAAACCGAAATAGGAATGTAAAACGGACGGAATTTTGAAAATCATCGGAAAAGGGGGGAACTTCAGAATATACAAGTCTATTTTTGCTAACGAAAAAAAAACCGACTTCAAATATCTCGCTCTGTATTAATTTTATAATTGTTTTTCAGGAGTTCCCCACGTATCTCCGTAGCCCAAGATCCAGTACCAATGAAATTAATACGGGACCACATGGGAAGCAACGGCTTACAAATAAAAAAGAGAACCATCAAAATCTGTTCATTCGATAACGAACATAAAAAAAAAATACAGTCGATAATTGAAGTCGGTTAAAAACATGCGTGCTTGCCAAACATCGCGGGGTCGCGTGCCACAGTGAAATGGAGCTTATGCGTCGGGTTTAAGGTGCAACGTCGATCGGCTTACCGGAAGTCGTAGGCGGAGGACCAGTGCTGGGGGTCGTCCACCATCAGCGTGAAGTTGACGCTCACGGAGCCGTTCTCCGGCACCCTCACCGACTCCGTCACGCTCTCGTACCTGGAGAAGAATTAATTATATATATATATATATATATATATAATTCCTCTTATAATAATATAAGAGGAATTATTATAAACGCGAAAGTTTGTTACTCTTTCACACAAATACTACTGAATGGATTCTAATGAAACTTTACAATAATGTAGCTTATACATCAGAATAACACATAGGCTATAATTTATATACATATTTTTGTGTACATCTGTCTTTCTGTCTGAACGTTACGCCTTATTCTACAGACGTAGTCGCAGGCAGCAGCTAGTAGTACATATAAAGATATTGTGTGAATTGTCCAAAATATAAGTAATGATAATTGTCAACTAAGTAGAAAAAAATCCAGCCATTTGCGAGATATTCTGGTGTATAATAAAAAACTCATTGTTAATTCCCTTTGGCCGCGCGGATGAAGTCGCGGATAACAGCTAGTAAATAAATATTTTCTGTCACATATTTTTACACTACGTTCTCTAGTTTCAAACTAAGCAACGCATGTACTATGGCTATTAGATAACTGATAAACATACTTTTCTTTAGTAAATAAACACATATTGTATGTATATATATATAAACACCCAGATACCAGAAAAACACTATGTTCATCACACAATATTTTTCCAGTTGTGGGAATCGAACCCACACCCTCTGGCGCAAGAGGCAGGGTCACTAGTCTCCACGCCAATCAGGTCGCCAGAATGGGAGCTCTAGGAGAAGGTGACGAAGGTCTGGCAACCTGGTGGTGATCAGCGGCCACAACCTTCGGCAGCTTAGTCTCCAGTTGTCCGGTTAACGATAGATATGGAAAAGTATACACTCTGATATAAGAAGGTCTTTTGCAAGGTCCATTACAGTCCAACAGTGATCTGAAATCTTTTCTGATAGGAAGAAGTTTGCAGGTTTTCTTTTTTTTTTTAATATTTTTATGTTTCTAAAATAGCAGGCGGTTCACCTGACGTTAAGTGAATGCATCCATCTATAGATATCTTTAACACCTGAGTTTAGCACGTTGAGTAACCTTAAAAAGTGCCCCGGTTACCTCACTCACCAGACGAAACACATAAATGTAACACGTCCACTAAACGCTGGTCTTCAGTGAGGCCGGGATATTTCCTCGGACGAGAGTTCCCATTCGTGCAACATCAGCTGGAGTGTGGCCCTACTGTTTAGTATTCACTCCATTCACTGGGAATATAATATTTATCGTGAAATTTATCCGCTTTTGGCTTGTTTAGTGTCGAGTCGCACTTGTTGTCGTCGTATCTATGTCGTCACGTGCGATTGACTGACGTAAACGAGAGATACAACTGCCATCTAGTTCGAGATTGGGCAGGTAGCTAACGTTGGTGCTAGAAGGTCGGAATGGTGGACAGTTCAGACCGCGTCGATAGCGAGGGGCATGCTAGAAGGGTCGAACGGTGGACACTTGAGGCCAGGTCGATAGCGAGGGGCATGCTAGAAGGGGCGGCACCCACCCGTCCTTGGCGGCGGTGACGTTGTAGTCCCCGGGCCGCAGCAGCCGCCAGAAGCCGCCGTCGGCCCAGGTCCGCACCGAGTGGCGGATCCCCGCCACCGCCACGCTGGCCCCCGCCAGCGGGTGGCCGATGTGGCTGTGCACGAACCCGTGCACGCCCAGGTGCACCTGCGGGGCCACAAGCCGCACGGATAATTTTGGGGTCCCGCACCCGAAGGTTAAAACGGGACACTATTACCAAGACTCCCCCTGTCTGTCGCCAGGCTGCATCTCGTGAATGATAGTTGGACAGTTGAAATTTTCACAGATGATTTATTTCTGTTGCCGCCACAACGACCAAAAAGCGGAATTGAATAAAAACAATATTTAAGCGAGGCTCCTATACAACAGACATGATTCTTTTCGCCGTTTTTAGAGGTATTGCGGTACGGAACGCTTCGTGCGCGAGTCCGACTCGCACTTGGCCAGTTTTAGTACTTATTATACATTACGTCAAATAGGTTTTTCATCATCGACTTTGCACGTTATTTACATTAGTTTAGTTACAATATATATCATAAAAACTATAAACTCAGATATCTCATTACCTTGACCTTGCAATCAATGTTCACTGGTGCACACAGCTAATTAATAAATGTTTGATTTTAGTCTCCCTTCGCTTTTATGCAAGAAGACGACACGTTGCCAACGTCCTAATAAAGTGGACTCCAGTTTTACTAAGCTGAGATGAAACTCGAAAATAGTTATAATGCATAATACTTCCACTTCACGCTGGTTTCCTATCTCGTAACAGCACGCCGTTGCGTGGCTCTACCACAGTAAATATCAGTCTTATCTTTATTGCACTTTAGTAATGTTCGGCAGTGGGCTCAAACAGGCTGAAATTATGATGATTAATGTTTAGCACTGTCTAGTTTACATACTTTACAGCATGCGATCACTTTTAAAATAACGCTTACGATGATGAATGAAATGACTATATTTTCGGCGTCGGGTGTCGTGGGTTCGATTCCCACACGGGACAACTGTTTGTGCGATTCACAGATAGTTGTGTCGCATCTGGGTGTTTGTCCGCGTGAAATTTATGTTTGTAAAGCGTCCTTACAACACAGAACAATGTTATCCTAAAGTAAGGACAAAAAGAAAAAAAACATGAATATTTTGACTAGAGATGGCTTTTCATTATTTCTTTTATGGATGGGACAGGATACGATGGCATATCTATGATATATATCTGGTCCTAAATGTAATGTATTTATTACACCATTTTGAAACAAGCAGTGTCTTGGAAGGAAGCGTGCATTTTTATTACATATCACGTCCTCAGTGGTGAAGGAAACCATCATTAGGAAACCTAAATATTTGAGAAATAGTAATAACAAAAAAAATCGAAGATACGTGAAGTCCGCCAATCCGCAGTGGGGCCGCGTGGCGGACTAGGCCTTGATGCCCTCTGTACAGAGGCCTTAGCCCAGCAGTGGGACATGTATAGGCTGTTACTTTACTCCAACTGTGGGCACCTGCTCTATGAACTGGAGGAGGGCCTCCCTGTTGTCCTCCCAGTAGGTGGGCAGGTCTTCAGCCGGCGGGAACTTGTAGCAGCCCAGCTCCAGGGTCAGCTCCATGTCGCTGGTGTGCAGGTAGCTCCAGTCCTGCATGCCGCCGGCGAGCACGTACCTGCAACGAGGGGCGGTTGGTATATTTTAGTGATTACCACAGTATAAAGTCTTGTGGAATTCTACTTTGAGGAAACTACTGCCCCAAAGAATCATTAGGAAATTTTATTAGAGAAATATAAATATTTGCAGTCGGTTCCCATTTCCACAGTATAATGTCTTATGCCATTTCACTTTGGGTAAGCTACTGGGCCCCAAAGAATCATTGACAAATTAGTACAAAGAAATAAAAATATTGACTGTCGCTTCTCAGTACATACTTGAAAATGTTATGTATGTCCATAAAAATAAGATTGAGTTTTCAAGGCTTAGTGTGTATGATATAAATACTAGGAAAAAATATTAATTGATTCTAGCCTCATCTACATTGCGTAGAATAAGTAAATCTTAAAACCACGCAACGGATCTTGATGCGGTTTTTTTTACTAGATAAAGTGATTCGAGAGTAATTCGATTTATATGTATAATGCATTGCACCCGTGCGAAGCCGGGGCGGGTCGCTAGTGTAATATAAGACGGAGTCTGATTAAGCGGGTTATGTGAGCGTCTTACCATTTAGCGCCGTTCGTGATCCCGTCCGGGAACTTTTCGTCTGGGACGTTCTTGCACGGCTGGCCGAGATGCATTTTGCGGTGAGCCTTTCGAAAGAAAACGTACTTATGGCATCTTTGGTTACACAAGTATGCGATGTCAAAGGGCGCGCTAGATTACGCCACGCAGCTCGGCTCGTTTGACAACATTTCGCATAAAAAAACAAAGATTGCCACTTGTAACAGTACCACATAGCTAAACTACAAAAGCGGGCAATTTATCTAATGACTGTCATAACAGGGTTATGGTTAAGGGTTCGAAACGTCGGGAATTAAAATTAAACTTAAAATTATTTTCATTTATAAAGGGGGTTGGGGTTGTGTTAAAAGCGGCTCACGTTGGAGTAGACGTGGGCTAGGTGCACGAAGACCGGGTTGTCAGGGGTGAGGTACTCTGCTCCGCTCTCCATGTCGGGGCTGCCGTCGTAAGGGTAGTTGGCCACCAGCGCGCCCCCGTGGAGGTTGGCAGACAGCACGAAGGGGATTGACATCGACCAGTTCATCACCGCCCTCGTCTCCGGCTCGGCCACGGCGTTGTCCTGTCGATATACAGTTACACCTTTTTTGGCGTGTTCGAGAGAACCTAAAGTGTTCCTAGAAGGGTTCCGTGCCGTTGTCGCAAACGGCAAAAACATCACGTCTGTTGTGTGGGAACCCCATTTAAATATTTTTTTTTTATATTTGTTGTTGTAGCGGCAACTGTGAAAACTTCAACTGTCTGTCACGGTTCGTGAGATACAGCTTGGTAACTGACGGACAGACAGACAGACAGCGGAGTCTTAGTCATAGGGTTTTTGCCGTTTTTTGCCCCTCCCGTTTTACCCTTTGGGTACGGAACCCTAAAAATGATGAGAATTTATACTATGCGCGACACAGACATCACGGTGTTGTCATGGCGACCGATAACAACTATTTTTCATTTACCCATAATGATAATTTATTTAATTAAACCGTTATCAATTGCTTATTAATGTATTGGCACACAGGATAAGCTTTTTAGTTAATTTTTGTTTTCCTACGCTAAAAAGAATATAACTTATTACGTGAATACGTAAGTACATACACAGGTTTTTTTTCGTTCAAAAGCAAAAGTAAAGTAACAGCCTATTTATATCCCACTGCTGGGCAAAGGCGGACGCCAGAGGAGTCTGTATAGAGGGTATTGGCCGTATTCTACCACGCACCCCCGCTGCGGATCGGCGGACTTTACATATCTTCGCAGTATTTTTTTTGTTGCCATTTCGAAAATATGCCGGTTTCCTCACAATGTTTTCCTTCACCGCAGGGCATGAGATAAGTCAACACATACACAGTACATTTATTAGATATTGTATTTAAGTTTTACGACGAAACACACAAGTAGACTTGTTTGATTAACAATCGTGTTATATAGATTGCGGTACTATACCGCGATCTATACCACACGATTGAGGTTCAAATAGTTTTAAATGACTCTCACTTGATAACAAGTCGGTGGGGGAGGCCTGTGTTCAGCAGTGGACTCAAACAGGCCGAAATGATGATGACGATAACAATAATTTTTATAGGTTACAATTTGGCCATTACTAGTGCTACTTACTAATGCTGCCATTACTAAAAGGTATACTAAAAGGATACAAGATAGGTCCATTAAAAAACATAGAAGCTCACAAGACTCACCTGCGTGGGTCCAAACTGATCGGGGAAGTTCCTGTTGAGGTCAACGTTGTGCGCGTTAGGCCTTCCCTTCAGGCTGCTGAAGTCTCCTAAAAAGTTTCGGAAGAGAGAAATCAAACGATTGGACGAATAGCTACAACGGGTTATTTTTATTGGAGATTTTGCCGTCGATTTAATTTTTTTTTTGCTGCCGGTAGTTTCAACTGTGGTAGACCCAAGCGTCAGACCAGTAACAGTGTCCGCTGTCACCAACAGTCTGTTATCACTTGAGATTACCGGGTAATTATAACAGGTATCTTGATACACGTTATAATTACCTGTTACGGTAAACACGCCTCACGTTGGACCACCCATAGGGTTACAGATGCGTTGCCATCTTTTATTTAAGAGAGTGAGGTATCTGGACCTCACTCACCAGACGAAACACAGAAATATAAAACTTCCACTTCACACCTTTCCTTCAGCCTTCTGTGTAGTCGTGGTACTTACCCGGACGAAATGGGTGGGTATTCCTACCACAGAGAAGACTGTAGCATTGCCCTAACCAGCAAGTATGTGGATATGACGGTTATTGATGAACAAACAGACGCCCAAATATTTATTTAAACTTGTACATAAAAAATAAAGATTGTGTATAGGCGGACTTAATGCATACAGGCGACGTAGGGACAAAAGAGGCAGGTGTTAAGTTTAAATATAAATGAATATTCTAAGTATTGAATCTTGTTTAGCTCGTCACTCACGCTCTTTGCTCTTCTCGTAGCCGTCCGGGTTCATGCTGGGCAGCAGGTGTATCCTGGTGGTGTTCAGCATCCGCTGGATCCTCTCATCGCCGCTGGTGTACTGCTGGCAGAGGTACTTGGCCAGCAGCAGCAGCATCTCGCGGCCGACCACCTCGTTGCCGTGCATGTTCGCCACGTACTTGAACTCGGGCTTGCCTGATGCGTTGGAGAAGCAATGAAGCAACGAAGCATTCCTTATGACTAAAATCCGTTGTACCGATACGTTGCACACCTAAAGATAAGATTCAGTGAAATGCGTACGATGATGGCGTATCTATGAGATGGGATCGATGCATATATCTAATTGGATTTATTTATTTATTTATTTAAACAAAAAACTAACATTGTGTATAGGCGGACTTAATGCCTAAGGCATTCTCTTACTTACTATTTAGTGTTACTTACTTGTTACTTATACGCCTGTCGGTGTTTGATACATAAGTTCGTACCTATACCAGTCATGTTTTACGTATTTTGATCATTTTCGTAAATGGCGCATGGGGAAGAACCGGTACCAAATTACAAAATTCGTAAATTCCGCGGGGAGGGGTCCGATCGACGAGCTTACCGGGTATGTGCCTTCCGGGGTCCCGCGTGACCTCCAGCACGTACAGCTCGCGGCCCTCGACGGACCTGCCGATGCTCGTGAGGCGCGCGATGTGCGGGTACGACTCCTGCAGCCCCCTCAGGTACGCCTCCATCGCCGTGTAGTTGTGGTGGGCGAAGTCCGCTGGGGGAATGCCGTCGATCTCGTGACGCGGGTGCCTGTTGCGCTCTGCGGATTCGCCCGTGTTTCGGTTTCGGAATTTACCGGAGGGGGGGGGGGGGGGGTTTGCACTCCGGTATATTCATCTGTGGTAGAGCTGGTGCACGAATGGGCAGGTCCGTGTAAGCTTCACTACACAGAAGAACGGCGCGGGGTGAAAGTGCTATACTTGGATTGGTGAGTGTGGTGGCAAGACATCTCAACCCTACGCAATTAGTGGAACGAGAATTAGCTATTATACTTTGTATTCGAATTACAATCACTGTTACTGTCACACGAAAGTTTCTGTTGCACGAATTGGCAGGCGGGGAAGTACCACGGCATTGCGGAAGACCAACACGAAGTGGAAGTTAATACTATCGTCTGCTGATCGAGGTCGCCACTTTTTAAATGCTTGGCAATGGATCTCCCGCCCCTGCGGTGTTGTACGGGCGGCGGTAATCACTTAACATCAAGTGAACCGCATGCTCGCATATAAAATACATGTTACCCACTGACACAAATCTCAAATTATAGCTAACAATCATCTCGGTCACGTCAGCTTTCATACCAAAAATACAGCACCATAATCTGTCCATTCCCTTGAAACCTACGATACCACATACAGAAACAGAGAGACAAGTCAAACTTATAACATCTCTTTGTACGTCGAGAGTTTAAAAGGAGTTCCTTTCTCTTGGTGGCTAGTCTTCTTTGCAGCTTCTTCTCAACAAGAATAACGGGTTACTTTTCGTGCAGAGATTTTGAAGCTATTACGAGTTCGTTATATTTTAGCCGTGCTAGCTCAGTGTCCGGGCGCTCGCCTTCAATTCAAAATACTCGAGCAACCAGAGTTCGAACCCGGTGCCGGCACCAATGAAGTTTTTAACTTTAAGTGCTGACTTATCACGTGCTCCGCGGTGAAGGAAAACATCGTGAGGAAACCTGCATATTTTCGAAATAATAACAAAAAAAAATATATTTCGAAGATATGTGAAGTCCGCCAATCCGCAGTGGGGCCGCGTGGTGGACCAGCAGTGGGACATGTATAGGCTGTTACTTTACTTTTTTTTATATTTTATGTACTTACACGAGAGTTCATTAAGGAAATTATTCCCTTAAGATTTCCCTTGAAGAACGATGGACGTGATACGAGTTACTTTTTTATGTGAGAAAGTGGCAAATTAAAAGGCGGTTCACATGACTTTAAGTGATAACCGCCGCCCATGGACATTTGCAACACATTTGGTTGTAAACCTTGTAATAAAGTGCGCCTCGGCTACCTCACTCACCAGACGAAACGCAGAGGTGTACCACTTCCACTTTACTCCGGTCTTCTGTGAGGTCGTGTTAACACAGATTACTTCAAACTAGCGTTGGAAGCCCTGGTTTCCGTTATTGTTCTAACGGATATAAAAAAGTGTGGCGTAATGCAAGATGTGAAGGTATGACGGTGACAACTTCATGTACACAATTTATAGACTACGGTGACGAGAAACTTGTTAGTGGCTTGTATTTACATTTATGATAGGTTCGCAAAACTGAAGAAATTATTGGTTGGAAAATTACTTTAGAATCATTGAATTTAAACGTTGAGCAATCATTGGAAATTTATCATTAAGACTATTTTGAAATAGATTGGATTATTATATTTTGTTAGTACTTGAGGATTCATAATAATGTCGATTATTGTTTTGTAATGATTATTTTTTTTGCTTTTAATTTGTAAGCGTGCACCTGTTGCTTACAATAAATGTAGAATCGAAAGCAACAAATTTTCTGTTTACATTTTTAATGAAAGATACAAGGGCATAATCGCGGGCTAACAATTACTGTTTCAGTTTTGCGAACTCCTTGGATGAGAACAAAGACTTACCGAAACAGAAACACAGTTCATTCCGCCGCGTCAGATTCAAGAAGATCAGTTGGAAGAGTTAGGGAAGCGTATGAGGAAAGGCCAAAAAAAATTAAAGAAAAAAGGACTGGGCAAATCAACAGCACGCAACAGAATTTTAACCGACACAATAGAAAATAAGCTCCCTTTTAACCTTTGCGGGTTAAAAAGAGATAGCTAGAGTAGTGCTACCCGCTCTAAAGGATAATAAGGCGAGAGTGGATAGCAAAATTCTAGAATAGGAAACGACACTTCAGGATTGCATTGTGAACAATAGATCCAACCACATATAAAAGCACAGTTATGTGACATGTTTTTAAATGGAATTTATTTGATATAAAATCAAAAAAAATGTGACAACATTTTGTTGAATGAACATACACATTTTTTTTAAAATGACTATGTAATCCTGAATGTAGAAGAAAAATGTTAAAAATATAAAATAAAAAAGAAACACGACATCAATTAAAAACCATAGTATCACAGCGTGTAGCAAACACTCTTTATTGCATCATCTTTTTAATACCACAGACAATAAATCCGGGTCGAAGGCTCGTCCTGTGCCTATAATATTGCTTTTATAGTTCGTTATATTAATTAATATTTACAAGTTTCATAATAATTGACTGTTTTTGATTTTAATAAAATTATCAACGTTAAATACAATCTGATGCGATAACGTATACATTATAAATAATTTAGAATAGAAAAAGGACAGCTCGATAGTTTTGTTGTTTACAATCCTGGTCTTTTATTTATGTATTACTAGCTTTTCTTAAATAAATGTCTTTAAACCCTTTACAACAATTTTTTTACAATTAAAACGTAGCCTATGCCCCTTTCTCAGGCTCTAGACTATCTGTGTACCAAATTTCATTTAAATCGGTTCAGTAGTTTTGGAGGGAAGCGAGACAGACAGAATTACTTTCGCATTTATAATATTAGTATGGATTCTGCGGGTTTTGAAACGCACAATCTATGTAATATATATCTCATAACCTTAGTCAAGTAGTTAAACTGTTAATACTGCAGTATTCTACGAATGTTAATGGGTAAGCAGATAGTGATGTTAAGCGTTAGTCAGTTAGTCGAACATTAATTACATGATGGAACTTACAATTAGTGGTCTTATAAACACGTTCGTTACTTAATACTAAAATAATTTACATTAGTTACTGATATCAATAAATACACTTAATATATTACACCAACAACACACCCTTTGCGATTTCAAATACATCTCGTTTTAATCATTTATACAATCAATTACTATTAATCACAGGAACTGACTACATACTAATTATTGCTAGGATAACATACAGGACCCATTTACATCCCACATACCGTTTCAAAGTTCAATATCATTTCACATTTGGCACATTTCAAATTTCGATTTGCACCGCAAATACATATACTACTACTAAATAAACAATGCAAACTACGCCACAACCGACGATATGGAAAACTTTTGTGTGTTCTTACAATTAATACAAATACGTTTTTATCTAAAATCTAAACAATTACTTCCTTTCATAACCTGTTAATTTTCAGTGTTAATAGAAACATTAAACGATATAAGACTAAAGGCAAAAGATAGAAATTAGTGTTACAGTAATGCTTATTCGTTTTGATGAGAAAATGTGATATTAGGCCAATGTGGTCCTTGGTGGCGGATATTAACTATCTTGTAACCTATGTCTTCGCCATTGACATTATAGATAATAGTTAAGAATATGCTCATATAATTTGATCCATAATATACTATTTTATGCTACAAACAAACTCAAACGTACCAAAGACCACATTGGTCCTTCGAGCCGGATTAGTTATTTGTGAGCGCTTGTCGGAAGCTAACAGGGATTTGACTATTACAACGGCTGAAAATCACGCGTTAGGCGAAATGGTGCCTTAATGCTTGACGATAAGGACCAAAACCAGGTTGGCCGTGAGCACCCAGCAGTGAGTTAGGGTGACGCCGGAGTTGCCATCGTGGCGGAGCAGGCCGGACTTACCGACGGTGATGGAGCGCGGCCGACGGTGGACGGTGAAGTTGACCGTCGCCGGGGAGCCCTCCTCGACGGTGACCATAACGGGCTTGGGTGGCGTGTAGCTGTAAAGTGTCGTGTTGTGTGCCAAAACTATTTCACTTCCAAAAACGTAAATTATGAATGCATAAATATTTTCAGAACATATTTCGTCTGTGATCCATATTTTATCTGGGAGATAGCCCTATGGACAGACACAGATAGGTCGGGACTTGGAAATTGTTGTTAGACGTAGCCCGTTTGGGTATTCTTCACAAGTGGCACGTATACAAAGTTAGTATTTATCTTTGCTCTCACTACCATCTACTTTATGAGTTCTGCTACTCTATTGCATTATGTTAGCCATGACAGATGCGCGTATCAGTAAATAGATTGGCATTTCACAGAAGTTGCCAGTTTTGGATTGGAAGGAACTCCTCACCCTGCAGCGCGGGCGGTGACGTTGTAGTCGCCTGGTAGCAGCAGCCGCCAGTAGGCGCCGTGTTCGGTACTCTTCACTGGATGTGCGATCCCGTCCACCAGGATCTCAGCACCCTGAAAGAGAAAACACTGCAGGAACGACTGGGCAGGCACGTCCGGGGAAGCACCACGGTCTAACAGGAAGTGGAAGTTTTATAATACTGCGTTTGACCTGGTCTGTGAGTGAATGAGGTAACCTGGTCCCACTTTTTAAACGGCAACACATCTGCGACCTTACGGAGCGGCGGTTACCAGTTGTTAGCATCATGTGAACCACCAGCCCGCCTGCCATCTTTTCACATTAAAAAGAAACGACTGACGACAGCGAGAAGATGCCACTAGGTATCTTGGCATTTGTCAATGTGGTCATTCAGCCAAGGACAATTGCAGACTCTCAAAATACATAGCCTGATTACGGAGTAAATGTTTAAAGTCTATTAAGGCTCCTTTTACAAGTTTCATAGCCAAAGTCAAATAGCGAAAGGGTCACCTTCACCGGTAGCCCATCCTCGTCCAGCACGAACCCGCTGACTCCGATATGGGTCTGCTCCATAAAGGCCAGCAGGGGCTCCTTGTTCGCCTTCCAGAACTCTGGCAGCTGTACTGCGCGGGGATACTTGCAGCAGCTCAGCTCGAAGGTCACCTCGAAGCAGTTCGAGTGAACGTAGTTGAAGTCCTGCATGCCACCTGGGGGCGAAGAGGAGGTGCCAATCTGTCTTAACATTTTTCCGAAAATTTTGCGTTTAGAACAATACTGCGCTAAACACAACTGACAACTTTAAATGAGACTTTCGGGTCTATCAACTTTTATCAGGGAGGTTTTGTGGTAAAAATATACCGGTCCTATTTTTGAAGATAACAATTCACTTTCTTACACCTAGATCCGATGTAAAGTAAATTAAATTAACAGCCTATATATGCCCCACTGCCGGGCAAAGGCCTGCTCTGTACAAAGGGTAGTAGGCCACGCGGCCCCACTGCGGATTTGCTGACTTCACATATTTCGAAAATATGAAGGTTTGCTCACGTTTTGTTCACTGCTGAGCACGTGAAAAGTCAGCATTTAAAATTAACAATTTCATTGGTGCCGGCACCGAGGATCAAACTCAGTTAGCTCGAGTATAATGAATTAAAAATGAGCGCCTGGACAATGAGTTATCACGGATCTGTTGACGCCAGCATAATTATCTATAAAGACTAATTGGTATATTACATTTTAGTTTCAACAGAGTAAGACAAAGGAAAGCATCCATTTCCACTGCAATGCTATCTTAGAGTGTATATAGGAGCAGGTTATTCCGAAATAGAATAGAATAGATACACGTATTCGGCCGTAGGGTGCACAGTCTGTGAGGTAAGCGCTGACCTTGAACGGAGTACCAGAAGGCGCCGTTGGTGACGCCGCCGTCGAAGTTATCCGGGGGGCAGACGTTGCCACGCTTCATGTCCACGTGCTGGGACGCGTAGACGGTGGCCAGGTGCTTGAAGAGCTCGTTGTCGGGCGAGCGGCTCTCCTCACAGCAATCCTTGCCGGTGCTGGGGGGGGGGGGGGGGGGGGGGGGGGGGGGGGGGGTTACCACTAGGAACAACTTCGTAGAGCAAGCGTGATCCAACTGCCGCTCTTACTTATTGTACATTGAATATGACATTAATTGTAAATGTTGAGTATTTATCTAATTAATTTATCAATATTTTATTAGTACAGTTTATTGTAATCAATTTTAAACGTAGTTGGTTTGACACCTATTGCGTCGTGATATTTTCTACACCCTAGAGTGGTGGCTGGTTGGTATTTGTTTTTGTTGTATAAATTCAACTTTTACAACGTACGCGAGTTAGTTTTTTGGTTATTGGAAGTTAAGGCTGTTGCTGTGATGGAAAAGCTAAATATTATTGTTATGCAATTATTGACTTTTAGTTGTATAAATTGGTAAAAGCTATGTTTTATAACTTATTTCTAACAGTAACGCTGTGTTTAGCTCATAAATTCTCATTCGGTCTCTTTTACGCGAGAACGTGGCAAATGAGCTGGCGGTACACCTGACATTAAGTGATGACCGCCGCCCATGGACATTTGCAACTCCCGTAGGGTTGCAGATGCGTTGCCCCATTTAAATAAAGTGGGCCCCGGCTACCTCACTCACCAGACGAAACGCAATAATGTAACACTTCTACTTTACGCCGGTCTTCTGTGAGGTCGTGGTAATTACCCGGACGGACCTGCCCATTCGTGAAACAGTGAAAACTGTTGCTTGGCCCTACCACAGTCTATTATACAATCACAATGTTTGATATAAACCAACCAGCGGCGGCGGCTGGTGCCAACCCCGTCTTCAGGTTAAGCTCATGCCAGAGGGCGCATCTAGTGGCTGCGTAGCATACGCTTTGACCTGCTTTTAGTGTCTACTAAAACATAGTCTGTCTGTCTTGAAGCTCAACGTTATAATATAAAACTTTTATATTTTATTTTGTACTTTATGTATCGGGTACAGAATCAGATGTGAGGACGTATGAATGTAGCAAGTGTTATAAAACATTGCTGAACATGTTATGAGAATCGCATGGCAAAAAGAAACATGCTCTTTTCGTTAAAAAACTGTCTATTGCGAGTCGGATTCGCGCGCGAACGGTTCCGTACCATTATTACTTAAATATTTTTTATTACGTTTTTTAGTATTTGTTGTTATAGCGGCAAAAAATATACATCATCTGTGAAAATTTCAACTGTCTAACTATCACGGTTCATGAAATACAACCTGATGACAGACGGACAGACATACAGACAGCGGTAAAACGCGATTAGTAAGACCAGTAATCGCGTTTTACCCTTCGGCTACGGCCTAAAAAGCCGGCACAAGAGTTGCGGTCCACATGACGGAAACTTATAGGACAATTAATATTTCTCGCGGTTTTCACAAACTATTTAGAGGATAAAATAAGAAGAAATAATGAAGACAATATAACAACAACAAAGGCGGATGATAATTCTGTATCACAAATCTCAATCAAATGGTTCATTGTTCTTTTGCATAGTCATTTTATTACATTCGAAAGCAGTTCGTCGACTATTCCTCATCAAAGCGACATGTTCCATCAAGCTCCGAGTAGACCTTTAGCCGATCATGATACCATTTGACAGATTAGTTGATTTCTACGATGACCAGTGTTTCAGAAACCTGGCGTTAGTCTAAGGGAAGGAGTCGACCAGGGTCTTACACTCACCTGGAGTCATCGTACGGGTAGCTAGCAACTACGGCGCCGCCGTGGAGGTTGCCAGACAGCACGAACTGCTTGCCGAGCACCCAGCGCATCAGCGCAGCGGTCTCGGGCTGCCTGCCGCCGAACAAATAGGCCTCCTCGTTGGAACGGTTGCGGTCGAACTGGTCGGGGAAGTCCCGGTTTAGGTCGACGCCCTTGGCGTTGTTGCGGCCGGCGGACTCTTGCAGGGATTCGCACTCGCCCTCCTGTAGAATTTTGGAACATCTAAATAAAAAATAATTCATTTGGAACTCTTTTGTCACCTATAGTTTTCCAGCAAGATGGGTGGGAACTTTATTATTGGCAGCATTTGTAACTGTGGTGGGGCCGTTGCCCTTAATCAACAAATCTTCGATGTTGCACAAATGGGGTAAGTAACACGACCTCACAGAAGACAGGCGTGAAGTGTAAGTGTTATACGTTTCCACGTTTCGTCTGGTTAGTGAGATAGCCATGGCCAATTTGTCAATGGGCGGCAGTTATCACTTAACATCAGGCCTTCTCATATGAGAAAAGCGTCTTAAACTCTTGTCAATATCAAATTAAATTGAGTTAGTGGTTAAACATATTACTCATAATTTTTTTCCTACCCAATCTTAACAAAAAAAACATAGGCAAAGTGCGTAAAAAATATTTTACAGTTAACATAAATAAATAATTATATCAAGTAATTACACATGTAGCAAATTCTTATCTCCTGATGACCTATGTGCAACAGTTCATTGAAAGTGCCTAGGTCTTTGACACTGCAGAATATAAGGTTGATAAGGCAACAGAAGATGCAAAGTTAATGTTATAATACAAATATTGATAATACATAATGGTCAAATAACTTGTAACTTATAAGTAATTTAAACCACAGTTTTATTATCTTTTTGATATGTCAATAAAATAATTTTATTAAATGAATAATACACAGACAATCATAACAGAATAATAACAGATCTTAAACATTTATTGTTTAAGAGAATAAATTACATTATACTGCCCTTCACTGAAAACCATCATGATTTGATTTTAAAAAAAAAAACATTGCCCTTATGTTTGGATAACATTATACTGTATTACAAGGATGTTGTACAAACATAATTGCACATGGAACAAATACTCAGATGCGAAACAACCATCTATGGGTCAAACAAATAGTTATCCCTTGTGGGAATCAACCCACGACCCTGAAGCCCAGGAAACTGTGACGGTGTCATCTATTTATTTAGTCCTCAATTTTAGTACATATAGATTATACCTGCATGTCATTTATCAGTGAGCTAACCTAACTACACGTTTTTAAAAGTTGGAATTGCTTCTGCAACCCATCAGGTGCCGTAGATGTCCACTGTCAGTTGTAATCACTTAACCAGAGGTAAACCACTTGCTCGCTAACCAAACAGGTGTATCACTTGCTTGCTTGTATGTATTTTTTTTTCATTACTTTTTATTCACCATGACTTTTTTTTTAGATGCAATATTTTACTCGCAATTGATAAAATAGACCTGGGAACTTCTATAGCATTCTACACAGTGCTTGCATTAGCATTTATAGCTTCACTTCTCTACTGCTGCTATATGCCAGAACACCTTATCACATAAATTTGAATACATAACTTTCTGTTACCAAATATATTAATTCAAACCAAGACTGTTTAAAAAACTAGAAATCTTAATGTGTTTATTAATAATTTTACAATTTATTATCTCCATTTATCTTGGTCTATGTAAAGTAAATTAAGATTGAAATTCTATCATGATGATGTGCATTAAGACTATTATGATTGTTTGATGTTATTAATACATTTAATTACAGTTTTTATGGGACGATCCCTATTGAAAGTCCTTTTTAGATAATTTTTTTTAACAACACTAATAAAAATATATTTTATCCGTTATGGAAATTTAATTAAATTAACGAAGTAAATTAATCTTAATGTTATGCAAACAATGTCGATTAGCAGTATTTGTATACTGTTGGTACAAAAAAATATTTGAAAAAACAACTCTTTTGTTAACAGTATCCTCAACAAAAACCACATTCACATAAAGTAATAAATACAAAATAAATGAATAAATCTGAACTCACTTTGCTCGCTTCAAAACCGTCAGGATTCAGCGAAGGCATCAAATGTATATCGGTGGTATTAACAAGTCGCGTCACCCTGTCATTTTTACCGTAATTCATCAAAAGATATTTCCCCAGGTAAACCATTAGCTCTCGTCCAATAGATTCGTCACCATGCATATTGGCGACATACTTGAATGCCGGTCGTTCTGGGTGCTCGTTTTTCACACTTTCACTTATCTGTAGCACTAGCAATCGACGTCCTTCAACAGACTTCCCGATCGAGTAAACTTTAGCCAGTTCCGGATATGTCGTTTCTAACTCGTCAAATGATTTGACTAAATCATCGTAGTGCGTGTACTGTGGTGCCTTAAGAAATGTTTCCTCATCTTCGACAGACCGCAGCGAACTTTCCTTAATTAATAAAGTAAATAAGAGTATAAACTTGTAAAACAAGAGCGACATTGTCACGGGTGCCGCGAGTCTTCAATCACATGAATTTTATTTGTAGTCAACTTAAATAAGATTGTAAATAAAAAACTTTCTTATCAATACAGACATTGTTCAGAAACAAACTGTTTACTGTAATAAGACTGAATGAGGCGATAAGAAAAAAACGGGAATTGTTGAATCACACATTCACACCTTGTCGTGTGACAGCTGATCCAAAGTGACTGCAGAATATTATGTTGCCATATAAATGTAGGAAATTACTTCGAATTTAATTAGTAGTTAATTTCACTAAATATTTTTTGTTTTAACTTGTTAGATCTTCAATACTCTAGACGATATTTTGTATAGTAATAACGTAACTAACAACTCTTACAGGTTAGATAATGCTAAATACATGGTATTGGTTAACATACTTAACCTAGCCAAATGAGTTTAACATCAGTATAAAATAAATGAAATATTCATAAACCTGGTAAAAGAATTCTATAAATTCTATAAATGTAACTATATGGAAACTTATATTGATTTCTTGTTTTTACGCGAATGTTTAAAATTTACATGCATTTTACGAGTTTTATTGCATTCGCTTTTGATTTTAATTTCCCAACGTTTCGAACTCTGCTTCATGGGCACGGGACAGACTACATAAGTACTTTTGTAGAGAAGAGGACTCTACGTTCAGTGCCAGGGGCTATGTAAAGTTGTAAACCAGTAAAAACGTTCAAAGATTCTATATTTTTTACGTAATTTTAATACAAAGAGTAATAAAGCTGTGCAATTACAATTTTAAAAACATTAGTGTAAACTCTGCGAAATTTCATTAGAACATATAATGTCAATAATTTCATCGATTTGAGAAAAATATTATTTTGTTCTACCAAAATAGTAATTTTTAAAATCATAAGGCTACTTTAAGGTAAACCCTGTCATGAGATGACGTGTAGGTACGCTATTTATAAAAATCGATTACAATTTTATAAAAAAAAAATCGATTGTTCTATTAACAACGTTATGATTTACGATTTGAAAACAACTTTTCTCATGCCCGGCTTGTCAACTTTTCTCACGCTCGAAACCGGGCGTCAGTTTACGTAAGGTATGTATTTGGGCTGTTTTGTTTATTCACGTGAAGAAAATAGTGAGTAGTGCAAATACAGGGTAAAGAGGTATTAACTATTGACTAAGACTTCAAACAATTTGTATTTTAAAAGATTTCTTTATTTATTGCAAACACATAAATTAGTGCTTACAAAGGGCGGCTTGATGAGCCGTTGTTGGCCTTAGGGGCTTTACAGTTTCGCTGGACTTGAAGTGGCCTGGCGCTCGGGGCGCCTAGCTTGAACCTCGGCGTATTATTAGTACGCGTTATGGTGACTAAGCTCGAGGGCTCCCGATGGAGCCACGGCTCGGGCCATCGCGCTATTATTATCATTACCGGTTTGGGATGCCGCCAAGCTCTTAGGGCGCTTTGTCGTACGCTCTATGGAGTGACCAGGCTCAAGGGTCCCCAAGAGAGGACCTCGGCTCGATCGGTAGCTATTATCTGACTGGGGAGATCACGAGGCCTGTTTATCTACATCTATCAGTGCTTGCGACAATTGTTTCATCGAAATTGTTTCAATTAATAGTTTGCAATAACGGTCGTGATGATTAATTAATAATTTCTTTTTTATTAAAGCATCCTGCCATGAATGCCATCACTACAGTCCTTAAATGCAGGTTGATACATGGGACATTGATTTTGACATACAATTATGGATCTCATATACCTATGTAGTTCCGTTCTTTTTAAATAAAAAAAAATTGGTAACACAATGTGTTACTTTATTTCGTAATGTCACTTTATTAATGTCAATTTCCCGCGTATCGTCGTATATTTAACAAACTGTTTATAGAAGTTCACCAGAGTTGCAACTGCTAATGCCGGAGTTTAAACAAAGTTTTATATATATGTATTAGTGTAGTTGTAACTCTGGTTCCGATTCCATATTAAGCAGTGATAGATTACAATATATTTTGGAGAAAGGTGCAAAAAAATTCTTTGAAAAAATCAATATAATTTATTACATACAGACGAGTGGCAACACATTATATTCATTAAAATCATTTAAATACAAAGGAACTTATATAACACGTAATTAAATAACACTTAAAGATAAAACTGTGTGCGTCTGCTTCATTAATTTAACAAATTACGAAAAGACTAACAACCAGTTACATTGCATTTGGTACGGTACATTTTAAGATGGTCACTGCGAGTTACTTTAATAAATACCCAAAATGCGAAAAGTGCCAAAAATGCATATATATAAAAACTTAATGAATGAGAATGGTAGATCCATGTAAGAACGAAAAGAAAAGAAAATTTTAAATACTTCTTTATGACCCATAATATTTTACGTGATTTGGGTCCAGTCTGAGTCGAAGAAACTACTAAACTGATATGAACGAATCCTAAAGATCAACAGTAAAACTTGACGCAAATATCTAAAACATTGGTAGCCGTTATCTTCCAGCACTTTAATTGGATTAATCCTATCGATAATACTCCACTTGAAAAATAAACATTTAATAATTAAGCGTCAGTCACGTCTTTGCGTGCGTACATTTAATTAGTTTTAATGAAGTATACAGGTAAAACGTGTGATCTTCAAGTTCTTATTGATTTCAGGTTATTGTAATTCGTTTACATTGTTTTACTGTTGAGCGTACATTTTTACGACCAATCTCATCACTTTCGTTTAATGACTTAAAGTAAAATATTGAGTATATAGCCTGGCCAGAAAAATATATAAGCTTGCTATGAAATAATATTATATGAAATTGTTATGTAGTACAGTTTTTCTCAGTGACCTCTCAGGTCAAGTTTTTATTTATCTGGTCAGGTTTTACAATTATTTCTCATTTTAATGGCAGTGATTTCTAGGGTCTTGTGTTTTATTGAATTAACATGACGTAATTGGGTCATACGAGTAAAATGACGTATTGGCAAATGACGAACGTTTTCCTAAAAAAAGGGGTTAAATATGGTACTTAAATATACTACTGGTATACATATTGGTACGCAGTACAGTAAAGTTTCAGACAGCACTGCAATGCAACTAATAAAACGTTATGCTAAAAAATGAACACATTTAAGAATTTTTCACAAATGCCTCGTACTAATGTCTTGCATTATGGCAATGAACCCTATTGAAACGGAGAAAGTATCTTCGTGATTTTTAAAAAGTCAGCAAAGTAAATAATAGAAAGTATACCGGTTTTCTCACGATGTTTTCCTTCACCACTGACGACGGGTATTGAACTCAGGTTGCTCGAGTATATTGAATTAAAAGCGAGCGCCTGGTAAAAAAAAGTAAAGTAACAGCCTATACATGTACCACTGCTGGGCAAAGGCCTCCTCTACATAGAGGGTATCAGGGCATAGTCCACCACGCGGCCCCACCGCGGACTTCACATATCTTCGAAATATATATATTTTTGTTATTATTTCTAAAATATGCAGGTTTCCTCACGATGTTTTCCTTCACCGCGGAGCACGTGATAAGTCAGCACTTAAAGTTAAAAATTTCATTTGTGCCGGCACCGGGGATCGAACGCAGGTTGCTCAAGTATATATTGAATTAAAGGCGAGCGCCCGGACACTGAGCTATCACGGTGGCATCTCAGAATGACTCAAAGGAGAGCGCCTGGACAGTTTAGAAAATGAACTATCTAACTAACTAACAGAGAGTGAACTATGATGACTCTTATGCAAATAGCGATATTAAGGAACGTAGTAAGGAAATGGGAAGTTTTTTTTTTCCGAGCAGACGGTTCACCTGATGTTAAGTGAATACCGCCGCCCATGGATATCTGCCACACCCGAGGGTTGCAGATGCGTTGACAACCTTTTGAAAATTGGGCTCCGGCCACCTCACTCGCAGGACAAAACGCGAAAGTATTTGTCATACCCGGCCGTGGTACTTACCCGGACAGGATTGCCCATTCGTGCAACAGCCGAGGCTGCCGCGTGGCCCTACCACCGTAAGGTAAAAACGGAGGTTGGAGTAGTCATATATGACCAAAAAATATTCGTGTCTTGCCCAATTCTTCTTTAATGCTGTTACTTTTGGTTCAATAAACCGATTATTTAAATGTGCATATTAACAAAAGACAAGATAGAACATTTCATATCACAGATATGTATTGATGAAAGCAAGCTGTGCACTCTTTCAAAACCGTCCTTAGAATAACTTATTAACATCACGAGAAATATTCACTAGGTATTAAGTTAAGAATGGCAGGAGTTTAATTATCATTACAACAAATACAAATAGAACATCTATCTCTTTCCACCAAAAGTAAATAGGCATAAAATATTTGGATTTATGACATCCAAAATCGTACTAAACCTTATGTTATATCTTTTATGAAATTTATCAGCATGTCTGTTCCATTTGTAAATAAACATCATTAAAATACAAAACCTTAAAATTACTCTCCGTTTAATACCGCCATAATACTTAAATAAATTGTGCAAATACCTGTTTCAAAAACTATTTAAATATTCATATTATTATATAAATTTCGTCAATACACGATATATCATGAGAACGCTGTTAATTATTCTAAATAAAAATGTAAATTTTAATATGACAACAATAATTCGTAGCCGCCTTTTCCTAGATGTAATTTTAACTTCTAATCTTACAAGGTGGGAGGCAAAGACACTGCAATCATTCTGCCACATAGATATGTGAACTTACCGAATTGATTACAGCGTAATGGATTTTCATAATTTTCAAAGAATATGAAAATATCACAAGAGTAAATGTCTTTATTTCTTTATAACTTTACTCGAGTCCATAAAAAGACTCGACTTACTTTTATTCAAACTTTAAAATGTGCGTGGACATATATTTTATTTATCACTCAAATTACTTAAATCGTTAAATTAAAGTAACATTCTATATTATATTATGCTTATTTTCTCACTGCTATGTAAAGTCCTTAAGATATGTTCCGAAAAATATTTTTACTATTATTTCACAGATTTTCTGGTTTTCCGTCTATCGAAAAAGAGGTTAACACAGTTTGCACCCAAGCCCCTTGAGTATGCCGAATTTTCGGCGTGCATGTAAAAATGCACCTAGAACACTCAATAATAGGATCTAATACTACTTCAATCATACACACAAACAAACAAACATCAAAACAGGTATAACACACACACATATAAGCCACGACACACAGCAATACAATACTTCAATTCAAATAACGTTTACTTAAATACGTAACATGTCAAGGCGAATATTTTTAAAGGCACATCGTGAACAACTGTCTTCGCCGGCCATTGTTGCCAGCACACATATATTTTTCTACTAAAAACATATCCTATAACAATTAACTTGTACAAAATTAACTATTTTTATCATAAACCGTGTACAAAAGGGGTATATTTATAAAAACCTACCTTTTATTACCACAAATAGACCATTACGCCTACCTAAACTTACTGTAAAGTTATAAAAGCGATTGTATATTTTTTTAACTGATAAAAACCCGTTCTTCGATTAATTACAACTTTAGAGTCCTACAAAGTAATACTATTCGACTGTTCCTAATCCGCCATTAATTTTCCCCCGTCTAAACAAAAAAGTTGCCATAAAAATATATTATATAGAAATTTATAACCGTACTAAAATGCAAGCTGTTTTTGCGCAATTATGATACAACAGAAACAAGTTTATATTTGGTCTATTGTCGATTATTTGGTAATGTAAGCCTACTAAGTGTAAATAAAGCCATTGTGACGTTTTTATCTATGTCGAAACCATAGAGGACGAATCGTTTGTTTTTTTTGTCTATGTAGAGTTGGCGCCAAGCGTGAAACCGTCTAGTGACGGTATACCGTCTCACTGCTGGAAGTGTGAATACCAAAAGATGTTGGCTAAAACGCCAGCTATCATGAGGGAGAAATAGATAACCACCGCCGCCCACCACAATCTCTTCTCCCACTTCCTCTTTTCGAGGTTCCGCAGAACTCCTATACCCACTAGTAGACCTGTAAACGAGACATTAGCTATTAAAAACCGGCCAAGTGCGAGTCGTACTCGCGCATAAGGGGTTCCGTACCATCCTTACTAATATTATAAACGTGAAAGTTTGTGTGTATGGATGGATGTTTGTTACTCTTCCACGCAAAAACTATTGAATAGATTTTAATGAAACTTTACAATAATATAGCTTATACATCAGATTTTTTTTTGCCAAACAAGCAAATGGTTCCGGCGTAAAGTGGAAGTATGACAAATACTTTCGCGTTTCGTCTAGTGAGTGAGGTAGCCGGAGCCCAATTTCCAAAAAGGTTGTCAACGCATCTGCAAGCCCTCGGGTGTAGCAGATGTCTATGGGCGATGGTATCCATCATAACATCATTAACATCAGATGAACCGTCTGCTCGTTTGGCAACTTTTCACATAAAAAAAACAATTATGTCTAGAATCAAAAGAAAAAAATGGATACACTTAGAAATACTGAACATACTGACCGGCCACGGCGCCGGCCAAGTGCGCCACGTAGCCGATGTTCTGCTGCAGCCTGCCCCAGTAGCGGTCGTACACCGCCGTGCCCACGTCCACGGCGGCCAGCAGAACGAAAACCAGCAGCTGCACCACAGCGAACTCCATCTCCGCCCAGTTCTGAGCAGTGGGGGTCGAGGGCATACGATATAGGCTCGCAATCGAATCACGCCGTCCTAAATCCAATCCTTCGTATACCTAACAGTTGTAATGTTACCGAGATCCGCGCGTCACTTCAGTACAGGTCCTAAAGCAAGTTGCTACAGGTTGCTAAATACAAGTTAGCGCTCACCATGATTATGGTGGCGATGTGGGCGGCGATGAGCGCGTAGACCCCGCCCGAGGCGCCGGCCAGGTAGACCTTGGGGTCCGTGAGGCTGGTGGCCAGCGAGCCGGCCGCCACGCCCGCCAGGTACACCAGCACCACCCGCCACCACCGGTGCACCATCTCCAGCGGCACGCCGAGGAACAGCTGGACTAAAAGGTTCACTAACAAGTGAACCACGCTGGGAAATAGACAATATTCGATTAACGATCAATTATACGGTGGTAGGGCCTCGCGGCAGCCTCGGCTGTTGCACGAATGTGCAGTATCGTCCGGGTAATTACTACGGCCTCACAGAAGACCGGCGTGAAGTGGAAGTATACTTAATGTAGTATATAAAGTATACTTTCGCGTTTCATTTGGTGAGTGAGGTAGCCGGAGCCCAATATTCAAAGAGGTTGTGAAGAGCCTGCAAACTCTCGATTGTAGCAGATGTCCATAGGCGACGGTGTTCAATTAACATCAGGTGAACCGCCGGCTAGCTTGACAACTTCTGACTAAAAAAAATATATATAAACTATGTGTTTTCTTTTAATGATGAATGATGAGTCCATCAGTGTTAAGGTCATGTCCGTTATAACGTAATCCCTGCCAATCGTAAAAGGCAACTAAAAGGGGACACGGATTGGCAGCAGCTCGAAGTGGTCTCGAGCTGCTGCAAGATGGCGAGGGAATCGGTGAAGGTCTATCCTTCTCCGAGGCGTGCTCACGCGCAGTACCGAGGGACACCGGTGCGTTCCGTGGGGGATCCCGGAGTCCCTCCAAACGTACCGAAAGTGGTCACCGAGGGGATTTTAGTGGGTCAGAACCCTACCATGTAAGGTAACCGGGTATCTTTTGAAGATTTCCCCCCGATACCAAAAAAAAGGTCAGGTCCGTTATAGCAAGGACTTTAGCAAGAAGCTAACCCGTAAACAAATATCATAAAAAAGTGCATATTTGTTTAAAATCTATACAGAATAAAATTTGAATATCTGTTTATAATATTAAAATAATCGCTTTTTCTAAATTCATATGGATAACATTTTTTATAATTTTTGTCTGTCTCTCTGTCTTTTAACAATTTTTATCTGTTTGTTCCGGTTAATCTCCGAAATGGCGGGGCCGATTTTGATTGGACTTTCACTGGCAGATAGCTGATGTAATAAGCTTAGGCTTGGGCTACCTTTATTTTAGAAATTTTATTTATTTTAAGTTCCACGCGGACGAAGACGCGGGCACAGCTAGTAATAAATAAAAACACAAAAGAAACAAGACGGTAGAACACAGCGCTCTTTGAGTTGACCACATAGTTTTAACCATTTATCGTTAAGCTACTGTACGACGTCGGCTATGTAAAGGTCATCACTGCAATAACCACAACCCTGAATATTAACTTTGACCGAAATTTGAAGAGAGCACAGCGCTGTACCAAATCGATAGTGATATTTGATCCTAAAAAATCTAATTCTGTCTGTAATCGCCAAACTAAGAATGCGTACATATCAAGATGATAGAAAGAAGAAATGGATTAAATATTTTTTTTTCTGGTATTATTTCTAAAATCTGCCGGTTTCCTTCCAACGTTTTCCTTCACCGCTGAGCACGTGATGAGTCAGAACTTAAAATTGCAATTAACTAACTGGTGAGAGTTCAATTCCAGATGCTTGAACTCGGCTTGCTCGAGTGTACTAAATTCGAGGCGAGCGCCCATACACTGAGCTATCACGGCGGTTTGAACACTTGCAGTTCACTTTCACACGAAACGTCGTATTTTAAGAAGTGCGAGATCTGAATGAGCGATCAGAAACCGACTCACCCGACGTGTACCAGCATGTATGTGAGGAATCTCCATGCCTCCTCGCGCTTGTGCGGGTTGTAGATGAAGATCTGGGCGATGGGGCCCGTCGCGTCCGTCTTCCCTTGGGCGGCGTCATAGCAGAACAGCACTATCTCCGCCAGCGAGATGAGTATCATGCAGACGGCCGGCGGCCAACAGCTGTACTCCTCCTCGTATGTGCCGTCTGTGTAGGTGAAGTAGGATTTGCTACGGGTCGGAGCTGTACGCAACACAACGGGAACAACGAAAGGGAGAATATGGGAGAATGAAACAGGGGAGCAGAAGGGTAAAGAAGAGTTGGCGAGAAGATAGGGTGACATGAAAGGAGCCGTTTTGAATATCGAATACGGAATTGATTAGAGATAAAGAAAATACCCGCCGTGAAGTGGCCAATGAAATATTTATGTCCAGTCCAAAGTCAAGTCAACCGAATGGGCCAACGGGCGAACATTGGAGCATTGTGTTCCCGGTTATTCGCGCGTTATAAATAACGCGCAACAATAGGTCAGGAATAGTCCACGCGGGATGTGTGTGGCGCATTGTGTGCGCAGGACGAGTTAAGCAGATCAAATGGACGCGCGAGGAAAAAGACGAATTGAGATTAATGAATAATGACGCCAATTTTGACGTTTCCGAGGAATGACAGATGGTCTAATTTGAATTTCGAATGGGGAACATCGATCCGAAATCGGATTTCGAATGTCGAATGCAGATTTGTCAAACATTGGATCAAATATCGGTTGCACGATTGTCGTGAGGAAGTTTTAGGAGGATTGGTTCAACATAAGTACAAACAAAAGCAACAAAAGGTTCGAAGGGTAAGGGAAGAGAAAGAGGGAGAAAAAACACCATTAGTAAAATGCATGCCGTTTTTATTAGTACGTTAGTATGTAAGCATAGATGAGTTATCAGTAATTAGGGTGAGTTAACTACATTGTTATTTTCGTTACAAGAGACAGTTGTGTCAAGGGATTACTCGATGATTAATAACGTATACACTTACGAACTATAAAATTTTACTAATGCATTAGTTAATACAAGTTCTACATACATTTTTAATACTTTATCGACAATTCACCATACTCTATGTGATAAATACACCATTTATGCACACAAATATGAAATACTTTCCTTGGGCGTTAGAAACAACGCCTCTTTTATACCTAAAGATTCCGATTCCAACGAGAATCATCTGGATGATATAAGGATTGAGAGCAATGTTTTAACGATCAGTTTGTGGTAACTTTCCGTACTCCCTCGCGATAATAATGCTTAGGAGAACGAAGACCACGATGGTTCAGTAGCAGATACGTTGATCAGCGATCAGGCCGCGCATTTGAAACACATACACAAACATAGGCACACACACATATGTGCGCGTCTACTTATTTTTCAGCCAGCACAAGACTTAGAGACTGGTGAGGTAGGTAAGTTAGGTTTAGAGTAACGATTTCTTGTATTTATGCCAACACAGAAACTGAAAAATGTATGTAAGTAATATCTGTTTAACTATTTTCGCTGTTGCACGAATGGACAGGTGAGTCCGTTGAAGTAGCGCAGACCTCACGGAAGAAAAGCGTGAAGTGGTAGTGTTTCACTTCCGCGTTTCGTCTGGTGAGTGAGGTAGCCGGGGCCCACTTCACTATAAGGTCGCAACGCCTCTGCAACTCTACCGGTGTGGCATATGTCAATGCCAGCTCGCGTGCCACCTTCCAACATAAAAATCTACAATGTTTAAATAAAGCTATTTTACGGATTTCATTGCGTTATATTTGGAGTACGTAAAAGGTAGAGTTGAATGGAAGGTTCACTGGGAACTGCGAGGAGATCATCTCGAGTTCGTATCACGACGTCTGGTCAACCACGACAGGATTTATATCAATCCGGATGTCGCGCGCTAGGGCGACCGCATAATATATGATATTACAACTACTACTACCCGGCTCTGTCTATTACTTATATGCCCGGTTTCTCAAACACTGATCATCGTAGTAGTTAACTAATCAGCTGTCAAAAGGCTTTTCAAATGTTATTTGTGTTGCCAAAAGGATTGTTAAAACTCTTTGAATTTATAATTCTGATCAATTCAGAGAGTTTAACAATCCTTTTGGCAACCTAAATAACATTTGAAAAGCTATTTGACAGCTGATTAGTTGACTTCTATGATCATCAGTGTTTCAGAAACCGGGCGATGGGTTTACTGAGACGTTGAGTCTAATGCTTACCTTTTGTTAGCTAACCGAACCTTAAAATATTGACCATTTTCAACCTTCAACGTTATGGTTCACGATTTGATATTTCTTGTTTTAACTCGAATGATATGCACGGTTTAAAGGAAACAACTATTTTACAGATATTCATTATCATCATCGTTTCAGCCTGTTTGAGTCCACTGCTGAACATAGGCCTACCCCATAGACTGCCACGAAGTACGATCCTGAGCCATCTGCATACATCGACTCCCCGCACATGTGCACAGGTCGTCACTCCATATACTGGGAGCTTGTCCTACCCTGCGATGGGCAGTACGAGGCTGCCACTTGAGAACCTTTCTTCCCCAACGGTTATCGATATCATCGCGTTTTAATTTAATTTTTTAAATTCCCGTTGTTTTGAACCCGTCACAGTTATCCCGGGCTGACAAAATAGTTTCATTTGACCATCTTAATGTTCTTATAAAAATTCCTTTTCTTTCCACAGCTTGTAACAGAATGTTAAACAACTAAAACTTGATTACTTATTTTCCGTGTCCACAAACGTAAATCCGTTTTATTAAATGCACGAATAAGGCACACACTTACGTAGTATAAAACAAAGTAGCTCCCGCTGTTTGTACGCGAAGTTTATATGTGGTATACATGCATAACATAGTAGAGATAAGCTAAGAAATTCGATTTGGAATGCGATGTCATGGGTAACAAACATATTTTTGTGCGCTTACATTGCAAACGCTGGCCAAACATTATATGTTTATGGACAGGTATATATTTATCTCCTAAGGATAACCCACAGTAACCATTTTTATCTTTAAGGCACCCGTGCGAAGCAGGGGCGGGTCGCTAGTTTGTTCTTCAATCCCTAGCTTGTCGAACGTGTATTTTGTTAAATATGTTATATTATTTAAAATGCCGGGTACAGCACGTTTTATTTTGCTTTCAGTTCGTAGACTATCTAGGCTTCATTAAACGCAACAAAAGTCGTGGGCTAGCCAGAAACAAAAGTCGTGGGCATGTGCTAATGCGTGCGTTATCTTAAACGGGAGCTATGTCCATACTGGCCATTGAGTTACAACCGTGACCCCTGCACATATTATATTATACCAAACGCGTATGGGTAAAGCCAGACTTTACCAATAGCTCTAATCAAACAATAAACGTCTTATTACCATGTCCTCTCGTGTATTTTAATAAGGCAAGGATGTGCGGCACTAAAATTTCTATACGTGATACATACCGAAGTATCTAACGATATTCCTCACACACTCCAGTGTGCTGTTCAGGCAATTGCGAACGGACCAACTCTCCGACTGCTTCCCAATGTCCTTGTAATCGTATCCATCGCTTTTGCACGTTCTGAACCACATTTTGTGATACGCATCGCGACCGGACCTCCTTCGACTAACTGACTCAGTCTTGAGACGTCAATTAAAAAAACATAAACAACACCGATAAGACGAAGACGCTGCTAACTATTTAACGCATTAACCTCATGTTATTTTTATGTATGATCCCAGACATTAACGTATTCAGAATTCTTTTAATGTGCTCTCCTTTCGGATGACATAACATCTTATAAATCTTTCTTAAATTATCTTAAATTAAGCTCTCGACATCGCTAGTTAAATGCAACACATTCAACAAATTATTAAACTTCCATCACTACAAACACGCACAAGACATTTGTATTTTACGATAAATTCGGCAAAGTCCGTAGCGAAAAAATATGAACTCTTTTAAGACAGTGTAGATTTCCCGCCAAATTCGCGCTTTTTAAATTTCTTTTTTTCAACAGCCAAACGCGTCGGTGCAGCGGAGCCTGTGCACTTTTCGCGCGTCCGTTTTGCCTCTGTTATTGCAAAACACTACGGCGGAGGAAGGTTTACGAAGTGGGCATTAGCGGAGCGCCGGAGTCCGGAATAATTTGCGTTTGTCACAGCACGCGATGATGGCATTGTGCGAACGGCCATTTGATGGCAGGCGCGGTGACAAGTTAATTCCACGGGCAACTTCCAGGATTAATGAGGAAAAAAAAATAATTTCGGTTAATTAACGTTTAAGTATTCACTCATTTTGCAATTTACATTAAACGATCTATTCGTTTTGGTGTTTATTTGTACTAATATATGGAATAGGTAACAAAAACCGGCCAAGTGCGAGTTATATTCGCGAGCGAAGCGTTCCGTACCATTGTCTATAAAAACAGCAGAAAAATCATGTATGGGTGCCCTAGTTGTATTTTTTTTTATTGTTTTTTAGTATTTGTTGTTATAGCTGCAACAGAAATACATCATCTGAGAAAATTGCAATTGTTTAACTATTGCGGTTCATGACATACAGCCTGGCGACAGACGGACAGACAGACAAGACATATACCCGAGTCTTAGTAATAGGATTCCGTGTTACCCTTTGGGTACGGAACCCAAAAAATGTAAAACCATACCGATTCCCGTGTACCATTTTAAAAGGATTGCCACGTAGTCTCAATCGGGACATGATGCTTTAGAAAAACAATACTCTAAATGCTATTTTGTAATGTTATCTAGCCTCTCCCGAAACCCCCTTGTAAATGTCTTTCCCAGTGCCCTTAGGGTCAATAAATTTAGTTGCTACAGTGATTGTTCGCGAGAGGTCCGCCCGCTTAACATTTTAATGGAGGTCAAATTGGAACGGTGGCGCAGCGTTTGCTTTATTAGACCCCTAATTGAATCCCGGTGTTATGAACTTTGCGCTCAGACTATAAATATACCGAGTGACGTTGAGTCGAAATAAAACTAACTGAGCCAGACTAGTTTTATTTACTCCCAGTGGTCGAATTTAGACTATAATTACATACATATACATGGTGTGTAATGATTTGTTTATTGATTGAATGTATTGTTTATGCATGATTAAAAAAATTTTCGTAAAAAGGGGTAAGTACAAAGCTTTTGCTTCACATATTAATATACAAATTTCACTATTGAAAAACCTTCGCGTAATGGGTTTGCAATGTTTTATTGCA